ACACACAAAACACACACACACACACATACGCACAACAGAGAAGCATGCTATCAGGTTTATTGCGAAATATTTTGTCACAACAATACGAGCAGCAAATGCACACTCACAGCAACTAAGTTATATTGGGGTTGAGAGAACCCAAACGTCTAACCAAGAGTATTATCTTTACATTGTCGGTGATGTTGACAAGAAGTTGGGGAATAATTGCAATTGTTTTGGGTTTTTAAAAGCAAGAGTCGTTTCACTTTTTGCTACCATATTTGATTTAAATTCGAACCCCCGTGCAAACATCAAGCAAGCACGCAACTTTCATTTTGCAATTAGACCCAACGACCACGTCTCGTGGCCGGCTGCCCGACCAACAATAATAATAACAACAACAACAGCAAAAGCCACCACCAAGGGAGTGCAACTACAGTCCAAGTATTCGAAATAAGCATTTCACAGTTTTCAATTCGACGCTGCGTGGACGTCGGCAACTGTTATATTGAATTTGTATATTTGTTGTTGCTGTTCCTAGTTTTTGTGGATACTTCTCTGGTGCTGGTAAAGATTTCTGCGCCCAGAATTTATGAGTTTATATGTACCTATGTATATACTATAATGCATATTTGTGGAGTAGGAATGGCGTTCAATCTCTTCATCGCGTGCAAGTTGTGCATAAACTTTCGGAGAAGTCGCGACGCATTTAGTGGCAAATTGGAAGGCTCTTCAACTCGACGGCCATTTCGATTCCATTTGCAAAATGAGCAGCCTTATATGAATTACGCGAATGAAAAAAAAAATAATATTAATAAAAAAAGTTAACAACAACAACAAAAATGTAAGAGGTCCCGCTGCGTTGGGTGAAACATGTTGACCATTTCAAATGCGTTTTCGTGGCGAATCCAAATGTTGCAGATATAGAAAAGGTGGCCCAGCCTTCTGATTTTGGTTTTCAGGCATTTGGGCAAATTTGGAAAATGATTGGCTAGCCGCTGCCACCGCCAAACCAATGTTATGACTTAGCTTTCAGTTCGTGTATTTATAATAATCAAATTAATATAGAAATGAATCGTTGCGTTTTGGCCGAGACTTCGTCGTCTTAGGCGAGTTAGTGACTTGGGCGCTGGCCGAGCATTTTCGTGCTAAAGTAAATATTGTTGTTGACTTTGGCTGTTATTTTTTTTTCATTTGCTAGGTATCTTCGAATTTTTTCTTTCTATCTTTTTGCTTTATTGTTATTATTAGATTTTGTGTCTATGTGTGGCGAGCGTGCAGGAAATTATAAAGTCAAATTGTAGTATGAACTTGTTTGCTGAGGAGGTTGGCCAAAATCTTAATGAATAGGCAATAGGAACTGAACACACATGCTATACAAACATGGTATAGACTCAAGTGCCACGTAATGTTGTAAGCCACAGGCCACTGCCCTAAATCAATTTCATTTTAAGGCGCACTACCAAACCAATTGGCACACAAATAAAATCGAAGACAATCGCAATCGCAAAAGTAAATAAAGCAAAGGCCAAAACTATGTTATGTTAGTTACCTACTTTTTAGATATAGCCATGCGACAAAATGAAATAGAAAAGAGAAAGAAAACAGCCACAATAACGAAAACTGAACAATGCGAACAGGAGAAAATTGGCCGCTCCCAGCTTTAAATTTATTAAGTCATCAGACATTTATTGCTGTCGCTCGCCGCTTGCACTCATTGGATTGCCGCCGATAACTGCCCTGGCGGTCAGTTGATCAGTCGATCAGCAGAGCACTAAAATGGGTCAGCATATTGTATTAAACGAATCTTAAATACCCTCAAAAGTACAACATTTTAATTGTTTATAGCTTAGACAAGGATTCCTAATTTCGCATCAAAATATGAAATAGTCAATTGAATAATACTTTTTACTTCATTTAGGAGCCACCTAATTCTATACCACTGTCCATCCTAGCTTTATATAAAATTAGCGCTTGAAATGATATTATCATTTAATTAGAGTCGAAGGGAAATCTTATTATTTATAACTACTTATTAACTTTAGAAAATTAATAAGAAATAACGTATTAGATTCTCTGCAGTCTATATTAGATTCTCTGAAGTCTGTATTAGATTCTCTGAAATCTGTCTTTTATAGCGTTCTGTGAGAATGTTTTATTTACTTAGACAAATTCTTCCTGGCAGAGTATCTGGAATATTGCTTATTTATGAAAATTGAATATTGTGTTTGTTATTCTGCGCTGGGGATATGACAACCATATACATATGTATATTTATGTATATGCGTATATAGGATATAAAAATGTAAGTACAAATAATACAAAGATAAAGATTTATCGTCATTTGGGCAGCAGGCGGCAGGCGCATGAGTAATGCGATTTTGTTGCAGTCTCTTATTCTTATTATTCTTCAGAGTCCGAAACAGAGTCTGGCTGAGACTAGCCTTTTGCAGCTGTGCACCACCAATAGATATGCTATATACTTATGTACATAATACTTACATATGTATACATGAACAAATCTAGGTACTTACATACACACATGAATGCAAAACTGGGGGCTTTGTTTGATTTCCAAAGCCGAAGTGAGTAATTAAATGGCGCTGTTGTTTGTATGTCATGCGTCAGTGATTATTTGTCCAAGTCTCCCACTCTACTGATATTATAGGAGCCCATATGTCTATATCTGTGTGGCAGTTGTTGTGAGGGTTCTTATTTGTGGGTGTGTTTTTATGTATTTGAGGTTACATGCAATAATTTTAAATATTTCAGTTTGTCCCAACACTGATAAAATTCTCAACAAGAACATTGAGCTCATAGATATATGTGTTCATATGAACAAGAAAATATTGAAAATATATTTTGTCAATTAAAAACCTACATAGAGCAAATTTGATAGTACGGGCAACGCGTTAAGTAGGACATGCTTTTAATTATCATTGCAGTCTTTAAAATCCAGAAACTACTTCATTTGCCAGCTCAGACACCTTTTACTTGCATAGTCTAAGCGCAGGCATTAAATATGCAGAATAGCATAGTTTACACAATACGGCAAAAATAAATATAAAATGAAATTTCCAGTTTCCTTTAATAACCTTTGGTACTAAAAGAACATTTTATAACTTGTTTCTCTCTTGTTCATCAAAAAGATATCACCAACTATGTTTGAAATTTATTTATTAATACTCATCTTTTTATATATTTCCATATAAATCGGTATTGATCCAATCGCAATGTTCAAGCATTTCGATCGCTCAACGCTGCCCTACAGATGGCATCGCATTGCCAGACTACTTGTTTGTTATTTCAAAATGTTTATTATTTATGTACAAAGAAATGATCAGTTTTACTATACTTGTACAAGCATACAAATTTATTCGCTTTCGATATAAACAAAAAAAATCATATGTAAGGTAATTTACAGTGATGGAAAAAATAATAGAAACGAAAAAATTTTCTTCGTTTATTCGAATTTTCTTCCACACAAATGTTTTCTTTCGGAATGCAATTTTTTTCCTAAATATTCATCAGATTACATGTTTAAATTTATTTTAAAAAATAAGCTTTTTCAAAATTTAGATCGCGAAAAAAAACTTATTTTTTTCTTTTTGGGTTGGAATAGAAACGACATAATTTTCCATAAATTGCCTTTGTTTTTGGACTTAAGCCCAATAACATTCTTTATTAGTATCCCCCATAGGTGCTCTATGGGATTCAGGTTGGATGGTTGTGAAATCCGTTCCATCAACATTTGCTTTCATGGAACTTTATTTTTGCAAGCTGCCATGTGTGTTTAGGGTCATTATCTTGAAAAAACTCCCACTCCCATGCCGGTAATTTCTTCCTCAGAATATGGAAGCAATATGCTGTTAAGTATATTAACGTAATCCATGGCGCAGATTTCATCCTTAAGCCAAAATACTTGTCCAAAACCCAAACGATTATGTTGACACCACCATCCTTAATAGTTTTTATAGTGTATTCCGGATCATGAACTTCCTTTTTGGGGCGACTTACCATCACATCCCAACAAAATTAGCTTAGTCTGATCAAAGCACGGGTTATGGAAAAGTAATGCGACATCTGAATTTTTCTTTTTCTTGCAAAATGTGCATTCAAATTACCATCTATTCTATTCCCTATTTATTATTGTACGACTAGAAATAAGTCTATTTAACTGCTTTCATAGATCTTCTGATGAAACAAGTAGAGAAGCTAAAGTAGGGTATCCCGACTTTGAAATACAAAATACACATTTTCTGCCTATTCACATAAGGCATCTGGGACTAAAATTTTGTATCCCTAGGTCTTATAGTCTCCGAGATATAGGCGATTATACGAATGGAAAATCGGCTTATATTTTTTGATTTCTAACCCAAAAACGTAGTCACCTAACAAATTAGATCACACAGTATATATTTCTTCCAGAATACGTATTAGCCAAGTGCGTAGTAGAAGAAACCCATATACATAACTTGCCCAGAAATTGAGGACTGGAATTTTTAGTGAAAAGTGGAATGTCGTTTCTATTATTTTTCCCATCCCTGTATATACTGTATGGTTTGAATCAAGTGGCAGTTGAATTCAATCTGCAGATATATACTACGTATATATGGATTTGTATACATATATGTATGTACTCATAGACATATGGAATCATTACAAAAACAACACCAAATGCAAAAGTTGGTAAACAGAAAGAAAGGCACTCGATTGACTGCTGATTAATATTTGGTGAAACAAATTTGTTTAGTCTATGATTTAAATAGAAAAAAGCAACAGAAAACAATACAAATTTCATTGCTTTTTAATTTGGAATTGGTGGTCGATAGAAAGAACTATTTATTCGCTGTGACTAATAAATTGTACAAAAATTGACCAATGCGCGCTGCATTTGACAAATGTTTCTATTAATTTAAGCAAGCAGTTTTCCAACGTCATTCGATCTCTCATACGAGCCTAGGGAATCTGATGAAGTCATCAGAAATGACTAAATAACATACAAAACTGCAGCTACTCACCGCTTTTTGATTGATGGGTCATCCATGAAGTTTCTCGGGTTATCCAATACCAAATATTATTCAAATTGCAATAGTCCGACCTCCAATTAGCCGCCGACGAAGACATGCGTGCTTAATGGATAAATGTAGTTTCTGTTATTGTTTATTGCCTTTGCCCTGTGCTTGCTGCTAGTGCTATTTTTATATATCCCAACTGGCAGCAGACGAGAAGAAGGCTGCTCTGGATATTGTGAAAAGGCACTGAACTCACTCCAATTGACAGAAGAGGGCAAAATGCCGGGCGCGGAATGTGTTTTGGGCAAATAAAAATACTTTTGAAGCACTTCGTATGTTGTCGTTAACTATTTTTAAATATGCGAAATTTTTCTTGTTGTCGAGTGCAGCTAAAACTGTGCAAAAAAATGCAAAGAAAAAGGTGGCAGCAGGAAACTCCAGCTCGGTTTGTTCTGAGTATGATTTCACAAAATATTATTGGTATTGTTTTGTTGCCAGGTGACGTTCGTGGGTTGTGTGTTTATGCAAGTTATGCTGTAACTGCAATTAATATTATTTTAAAACATTCAAATTTTATATTTGTTATATGACTATAACTCATCACTTAAATCACGTTTCATTCAAAAAATTCACAATTGCACTAAATGTGATTTGGAAAAATGTATTTATTAAAATAACAATGACAATATTCTTGTCACATGCAATCAGCGAAAAAGTATTTTGTTTTCGTTTTCGACAACGACGCTCCTTGCGCGGGCTGTCACTGGGAACTGTCGTTGCTGCTTCTTCTTGTTCGCTTGTTGGGGCGCTTTTGTTTGTTCAAAACACAAACACATTCATGCATTTGTGCACTCTTTGGATTTTGGCGCTCTCACAACTTCCGTTAACGTCTGCGCACTGAGCAGCTGCCGTTGTGTTTGTTATTGTTGTTGTTGCGCTGACTAGTTTGGTTTAATAAAAAAAAATAACACACACACACACACTTTGTGGTCGGCGACGGCTTTTAGTGGGGGCGTGTCGCGACCAAAACTGGTTTTAGCCGAAAAACGCAACACACAGCGCTTGAACAAAAAGAATGCAAAAACAAAACACAAATAACTAATGGATGTAGGTAGTATGTAGAAGGGTAACATTTTATGGCCGCTTTAACGCGCTTTAGAAACTCTTGGTAGCTGCTGTTTGCGCAACAAAAATAAAACGTGCGAAAAGCTAACGTCGGAGCCCTTGCTACGCTTAAGCCGTTCTCTCTTCCCCACTATGCAAATGGGGATCAGCAGATCGGCCAGTGTTGCCACGAATCATAAAGTGACAAGGCACAAACAACACTGGCAGCTGGGCGCGGGCGTATTTGTGTTGTGTGTGTTGCATTCGTATCTTTGCGAGAAAAACATAAAATAAGAAACCGACGCACACATACATATACCATCATTGATTGAATGCAAATAATGCACCCATTGCATTTTCTTCTCAAACTGCCACGACACGCACACACACAGTAAATTTAAATTACAAATACGAGGAAAAAATTTGAAATTGGAAAAGTTAAAGCAATTAATTGGGGCGCAAATGTTTAATTGAATACGCATGTGTGTGCTTGTATATGTGAATGGTTTGATGGTTGGTTGGTGTGGTATTGAAGCGGGGGTGCGAGTACGATCATACTTGCTGCCGCGACAGCAGGCATAGGCACAATTTATGTGTGAAAATAATTGTCAGCGTGTGTGAGGGTGTGTATGTATCTACATACGTGTGTGTGAGTGTAAAAGATGTTGAACTCTTGAACTGCAGCATATGCACACTTTTATTTACTTTTCAACGTACACATACATAGAAGCAAACACACACACAAACAAGAGATGCGATTGTTTTTCCTTCATACAGTACACAGAGCTGATCTTTAGGATACATGTACATACATACATATAAACATGCATCTATAAATATAAAATGTAATAACAGAATTGACTGCACATGAGTTTTTTCTTTTAATTATAACATCCAACAAGTGGCGGCAGCGGCAGCCATATTGCTTTGCTCTGTGTTGGATCAACACACCAACACATAACTCACGCACTTTGTTGCTGTTAATTTTTCATACACAAATGCACGCAGACAAATTTGTTTAATTTACCACCGATCCTAACAACAACAATGCACATACATTTTTTAAATAATTGCAATATTTATATTATCACTGCACTTTTCCATATGCATACATATATGTACGTTTCATTTAATGCCCCTTGATGGAACTCTGATCGATGATCAGCAAAATAACGCACGGACGCGAAGTAATCCCATTGCGCATTATTTGATTTTAACATTTCTGGTTGATCGATTGTATTGGCGGATTTTTTTACATTTTATAAAAGCGAATTTACATATAGCTGTTTATTTTAAGCAAAAAACAAACAGTAAAATGTTTATATCGAGATTATTTATCGCACCCGCATCACACACGACGTTCTCAACACAAAACACAAAACTAAATACATACAGCCACTAACTTGCCAACTTACTAATAACGGCGCTTTTACGTAAACAAGTTAGCAGTTCTTTAAGTAAAGTGTTGAACAACGATACAAACTGCACAACTAGCAGCTGCTTCATTTTAGCGCCATAACTGACTTTCAAATCATCACTTTCGGATTGCCCGTATGAATAATGATAACTACGTTAAAATGTTTGTAAAATATTTATGGTTTTGAAATAACATATATTCTACTATATACATATTCTATTATGTACACATACACGTTGACTTACAAATGATCGCCAAGGTTTTTAAACAGACATAAATCGAATTTGACAAATCTTTCAACTTAGTAAACAAGAATTTCATAAAAATTGTATTTAAAAAGGCTTAAATATGTTAATCCAATAGTATGAATCAGGCTTGTATTGACATGAACCTAACATTGCATCTAACCCACTTTATAAAACGACCTGAAATATGTCAAAAAAATATAATATAATACATAAAAATATGCAATTGTAGAAACAATTTAACTTTTTTTTGTGTACAAAAATATATGGATTCATATCTGCTTGATAAAGTTAATATTAGAATTTCGACTGGATAACAAACTTCAAAAAACCACCAACTTAATCAAACTTGTCTGGCACGATTCAAGAATACAATAAAAGAGTATATGATATAATACAATTCTATGAGTTTTGATCAATTAATCTCATTGGCACTCCTTACTAATATGCCTGTTTAACTCATGGACTTTTGCTCTAAACTTAGCAGGATTTTTTGGACTGAGTAATCTAGTCTATCTACACTTAAGAGGTTAGGTTTGGCAGGAAAGAGAGTTTGGTGGTGGTCTTAAATTAATGGAATTCAACGCTTCGCTATATTTCGTACGAATTGAGGTAGTTGAAGCCCAATACCATTAGGTAATAAAGAACTAGACCTATAAATGCAATTTGAGGTGATCGGTTGTCCACATTTGTACGCCTACAAGTGGCGTATATCTGGCGTCAAATACTAGGGGCAGAGTTTTCTGCTCTCTCTTTATTAACGCTGATGGCAGTGTGATCACCTTCATTGCCGACAACATCGACTCCGCTATCGTTCGCAGCATTACCAGAAACGTCCTCATTTTGGTGGTCAACGGATGCCAATAATCTGCGGTCTGCAATATTCTCATAATCCAGATCATCTACTTGACGGATGGGCTCCCGTTGATGGTGGGACTCTAGGGAGATTTCGTGAGCTGACTGCAGCAATCGCAGATGATAGTACACCCCAGCGTCATCGATGGCAAAGAATTGTGTAAAGTTTTTATTGGCAAAGAATTGGTTCTCCTTATTGCCCACAAACTTGATACAGGCCAGGAGTTCAGGGATCGATGCATTGCCACGCTTCTCCCTCCAAAGATTCGCGGTCGCTGCTACTGCCAATTCGGCTACTTCAGCCTGAGCTTGTTCTCGCCATTGCTGATGTGGTTCAGGAGTCGCTTTCTGCGCTGCAACAGATTTCTGCGATGATAAACCGGACTGTCTACAAGCCGCATAGGGCATTGCATCGACCTCTTCGCATTCCTGGACATGATGGCGCGTTCCGAAACGCCCGCTGCTACGTTGCGGAGTCTTCGCCTCCAGTTGATTGTTCCGCATATGAGTTACGCTCCAGAAGCACAGTTTTTCAGCACAGCTACTAATTAGCACCTGTTTGCAGGGTGAGAATCGAAGTTGTCGAATCCGCTGCTCGTGTACATGCTCCGTGACTCTATAGACTAGTTTTATGTGATTGGAATCGTACGAATAGAGCTGTAAAAATTTAATAATTATTGTACGTAGTGTTCATTATAGAAGGTAAAAATGAATGTGCATCGATTAAACTTCAAAATTTGCAAATTTACTATTACTATTACAAATATATAAATATAAAAAGTTTTGTCTACAAACACTATTCTCAAGTATATCGTTTCTATGGCAGCTATATGATAGTAGTAGTAGTGATTAAAAAAGCGGCACAGAGGTCGCGTTTTGGATTCGTCTTGCCAATTGGATTATATATTTATACACTTTCAGAGTAAAATAAAGAGGTATGTTAGCGTGCTATAATGAAATTATAAGAAGTACGAAAAAACGTTCTATCTTGAAGTGTCCTGGATTAAAGTTTCATTAAAAAATTTGTACATGCAAATAATTTGTTGTTATAAGCCATAATAATTAGAGATGGACTTTGTTCAACTTTTGCATAAAGCCAGTAAACAATTTTATATGAAAAATTTATGTTCTCCGTCTTTCTCGCCTAGAGATGTCAGGCCTGCGCTTACCTCGATTTCGCCGCTCCTATATCCAAGTGCAAAAATAGTCCCATCATTAGAGGCAATCAGATAGCAAATGATCTGATTACGATGCTGCGGTTTAATTTTCTCCGAGCACAGCTCTTTCTGATGAATGCGGTCAACACCGACACTCAATTGGAAGATCTGCAAATGTATATAAATATATTTTTAGTTACGGAATTGTAACCAGCAAGTGGCACTAAAGTTAACAATGAGTATGTAGTTTTTGCGTTGTGAGCGTTGCTGGTGTGACTTACGATGGTGGGTGCAGTGTGATTAGAATTGATTTGAACAAATATCTGTACCGTAATGGCATCCAGTTAATTTACAACACAAATCTTGAGTTAAACATTTAGTTAGACAACAGCAAGCGGGCTCTATGGCGAGACTTCGCTTACCTTAAACGCTGTCCCAGCACTCGTAATCGCACACAGCTGAAATTAGCTCAGCAGCCGGCAAGAATTACCTGAATGTCATTCTCCTCAGAGGCAACAAAGAGGCGGGAACTTTGCAGATCGAATCCAGTTATGGCCATTTCTATTATAGAAATATAATGGATGTCTTCTTCCTGAGCCAGATTCACATACTGAATGAAGAGGGTTTGAATGTTTTTATGCCAATAATTTGTAAATCAATAATTGCACTTACATAAACTCCGAATTGGCAGAAGAGTATCAAATAATACTTCTCAAATATACACGCGTACATGGTTTTAGATTTTAGAAGCGCCGTGACTGGGTCGGCTGCCGAATTTCGTAGTTTCGGAACGACTGCCGCATCTGAAGCATCAATACCCGTTACAGATCTTCTGCGCTCTTCACTCCATCGAAATATGATTGTCTTGCAGCCTGCCGATGCGATCAATATGTTAGAATTCAACTGCTTTAAATAGTCGATGCTTTCAGTAATGAATTCCTGTTTCAGTTCAGCGTCATTGTTGACGTCCATGATGATGCCATTATCGTAGCCGGCATATATCAGCTCATTATCGGAGGCACAAATTGCTGTCACCTTTCGCTGATTGGACGCATGTGTTGGTGTAATTGTGGACCAGTAAGAACAGCTGGGTCTTCTGTTGGCATGTTTTCCAATTTCTGTTTGTATTTGATGGATGCGCTGCTTGGAATCGACAGCAAAGAGTTGAGTGCCCGCCATGCACATGAGAGGGCGTAGATAAACATTTGGTTCAAGGCACGCTCGTTCAGCTTGTTGTGCAAAAGCATCATCTACGTTATGCACCCATTTCAGAGCTGTTTGACTCTTATTGTTGAAATCATTCTCGCACAGTATGTGTAAATACAGGATATTTTTGCCCTCAGCGCCGCACAGCACAATGTATTTGTAAAAATCTTCACTCAGTTTGTAGATATCCACACAGGTAACGTGTTCGCTGACATTGCTGCGCAGCACTGGCTCCGACAACTTTAGATCGTATACGATAAGACCCTCACTTTTGGTGCCCAAAATCAAATAGTGACCATCTAGCGAGAGCTTGGCACATGTGATGTTACAGGCACCTGCGTCGCGTCTATATAGCAGCTCCAAATTTAGATTATCGAGGCATACACAAATGTTGTTCTCGATCCTTATGCGCCACATGTTTATTTCACAAATAAGTAACAGGGTAGTCCAGTATTGACCGCCTACCAGTTGCTCCAGATAAATATCCATTTGGCGTGCTGGGTCTTTTTCAGGATTGTAGTTATTCAGACACAGTTCCTCCCGAGAACTGTTTTTTAAATTCCAGACACTTAGCACACCATTCCCTGCAGACACCACATAACATTTGCTTAGGATATAAGCAAAGCAACGTATCTTCAATTGTTTCGTGCGGAGCATTGGTGTCGAGGATCTCTTGAATTCTTGGTCAGCATGTTTCCAGTTAAAGATACTGATGTTGCCGTCGATGTATGCCACATGCAATTGAATGTTCGATTCCTCACCATGCGCCAGCTCGTCCAAAAAAAAGGCTGAAACATCTTGCTGCACCGGCTTGTGGGATCGCTTTGGCGCGTCTTTTGGAACATGCACCCATTGGGGATGCACACGCTGGCGACTGCCACTGCTTCGCCGACGAAGCAATGGTCGACCCCCAGTATCTGGCCAGAGCGACCACAACTTTAAGTTTCCATTTTCGTGTAGTGTAAGCAGATATTGTTGTTTATTGAACACACGCAGTTCCTTGATTCCGCTTTGGTCGTTCTCGTCGCACAGTACGTATGTAGTTCCGGCCTCCAAAGAGACGTCCGTGAGTAGCAAATTATTATTGTCCAGTGCCATTAACTGAAACAGTATATATATTAATTAGGCATATGAGGGCAACAGATATTACAATACATACGCAAAAATGCTCATCAAGATAATTTGCATGCCGCGATTTGTGTTTGCCCAGATTAATCACCTGCCGATGTTGGTGGAAACTACCACTGGAAGTGAGAAGAAATTAGTTCAAATATGGTTAATGAGTAATGAGTAAGATCTACTTACTGTTCGGTAAACCACACATGATTCGGAAATCGTTGCACTTGTCGACACGCCTCCTCATAGACAGCACCATCTTCTGCCATCAAAGCAACACGCAATAAACATGTGTATCGACACCCTATAAGCTTCTCCTCGACCTTTGGTAAAAAATCCAGCAAGGCATTTAACAACCTCAAATATCGCTGTTCACTATCTAATGTGGATGCATTGAATTAGAAAATCAGATTAAATAGTTGTATTTTACCGACTTACCGATAATGTAGTTCCTATAGAACTTCAATTGTTGCAACGTATTCAAAATCGATCCACTTGCATGCCATGGCGTCGTGTCTTGGCGTATCTTTACATCTAAGAAACGAAAATCTAAAAATACCATACGGAATAGCTCTACACGTTCAGTGTGATTGAGCAGCTTGCTTAAATGATGCCCAATGTGACTATAAAAGTAGCAGTCCAGAGAAGAAAGCGTCGTATCATTGCACTGATTGAAAACTGAACGAATGCTGCAAAGAGAATATTAAAATCATTATTCAAAATGGTAAGTGAGAAGCTAAAACTTTCCCTATTTAAAAGATAGGACTTAATTTTTTAAAGTAAAACGTATGCAATTACAACTTTGTATTATTTGGATGTTCTTAGTACCGAATGAAATTGGAATTGTTTTTGCTCCCTTTCCTTTCGAATTTAAATTCGTTTCGTTTTTATTACGTTTCGATAACAGCTTCAAATATAAACATCATAGAAATGCCAGCTGGTTTGCTAATTAATTTCTAGTTAGTGCACGTTAAAAGGTTATGGAATTCAGAACAGTCCCTTTTGATTTTAAATAAATTGTTTGTAAAATTATTCGCAAGATTGTTACTCGAACTTACATTCTGAAGTCAACTAATCGTTTCTTGTCTTACTTACTTGTAATACTTCACAATCTTGCAGTGGTAAGTGGATTCATTCGGCACCTGAAGTGGTAGCTCCAGGTATATGTTCGGCAGTAATACGGTTTCATGATTATCCTGCAGCTCCACCAACGAATACTTTTGGAGTTTTACGACAATATCCATTGCACTTTCTATTGATGGATCGATGACAGACCAGATCTCTTTTAGCAACTGCAAATGTTTAAGATTTCATTTTTTGCTTTTGGTTTTCGAAATAGTAATCAACTTACATTAATGGGAATATTTGCGGACGGGGGAAATATGAGTAGAAGGTTAAATAATTTTCTGGTATCCGAATCCAAAACTTGTAGTGAGTTTTCAATGATTGTGACCAATTTATTCGACTTGACACTGTAGAGAAAAGAATATATATATAATATTTTTCGACCCAATGGCCACTCTACTCACTGTTTCCAGTTCTCCCAGGTGGCCAAGCCGTCCCTTATGGTCTCCGCTATGATAGAAAGTGTCCGTGGATTAAGGGTGTTCATGGACGTCAGCTGCTCGTTGGGTAGATCCTGTGGCTCGCATTTCATGTACTTACAAAACAGTGATTCAACTTCAAACAAAGTAAGCACATCCGGCAGGACTATGTGTACGGTGGTAGAGGGCGAGAGATAGTCGCAGACAGTTCTGGAGCGTGTGGTGAGCAATATTTTGCATCCTAAATTGAACGTCTTCCAGGTATCGATAGTTTGAACATTACGCAGCACAAGCAAACAATTTTTGTAGGGTTTGCTCATCAGCTTACGTCGTAGTTCCGCTTTGACATTATCGATGCGCTGCATTATGCTCAAACTGCTACTGATTTCACTAATGTGGCTCTGCTGATTGTCGAGTTGGTGGAGCAGCGATTGCAACAACTCCAGATGCTTTTCCGGCATCGTCCCCTCACGCACGTTTACCCAGAAGATCTTGAAGTCCATCTTACTCTGCACCGCGTAAGAGGAGCACACATGTAATGCAAGCCATTGCTTTCCTGCACCGAGGACACCCTCAATGACAACATTCTTGGCCGGTCTCAGCTTCAAGAGGGCCTTTTCCAACTCCAAATACTGCAATTCGGAAAACTATGTTAGTTAAATTTTGTATTTTGTATTAAGTTACATCTTACAAATATTATAAATAGTTACCTTTTTGAGGCGTGGCACATTATATTTGCTGAAACGCTGATTTCCATTAAACAGCTTGTCCAACTGTTGGATATATTCAGTGGTATTTTGATGGGGATAACGACACTCATGATTGATGGCGTCCATTAAAAATTCATGGTAAATCTTGAGTATATCATTTACAAACAGGGCGAGTTTTTGGTCGGGCAAGTCGTTCAGTATAAACAAAAAACAATAAATTTGCTTTTTTTCATTAAAAGTGGCAATGGTATCAATGACTCGTTTTGATAGAATTATGTGTAATTGATCTTTCACATCAGCATAGTTAAAGTTCTGTAAAAAATGGTCGCGGAAAACAGGTAAAACCTCCTTGAGAGTAAAATACAAGTCACGTTGCCCACTCATTTTGAATAATATCGAGGCTCCTAGAAGTAGACGTAAATGTGGATCGCAGTTTCATTAGTTAAACATGATACAAAATGTTCATCATATCCTCTTTGTCAGACGTCATATGGTTACAGGATTACAGTTACGAATAGCATTTTGCTTTATCGTAATTATGGATGCCATGCTAAATGATGGTACAAAATTAGACTGTTAGTAAAAATACAACAAATTTTTGAATTACAATTTCGTCTTTAATTTTAATTTTATCCCCCCCTGTCCCCTCCCCCCTCCCCTTGGCTTCGCCCTTGCCTACAGACCTTAATTCTCAAACGCCGGGGCAATAAATATGTACGTATGTACTGTAGTATGTGTGTATTGGTCTACAAAAAACAATACAGCAGCAAAAGGAAATACAACTGTTGTTCATGATTAAAACAACATATATTTTCGAGTCAATGTCACAGCGAGAAAATCGTTTTTTAGAAATATCTCGGTATGGATTTGTGTCCCCGAGACACAAATCGTGCGGTTAACTTAACGTTTTCTAATGTACATAGCAATTTAATTAGGAGATATACTTATACATACATACATGCATATAAACAATAAACAAAGACGATTTCAATGTGGCCACTTGATGACACATTAACCCACCTATACAAGAAAAACGAAGATTATTTCTATTGGGATTTTTACAAATTGAAGCCCAACTAAATAGTAAACTTAATATGTATGTACATAAATATTTACTTAAATTATACACATGTGTATAATAATGAGTGCTGAGTTAATAAAACTAAGCTGAAATTGTTGAAAATTGTTATGCATACATACTGTATGTGTATGCAAATTTGCACTTCGCCAGTGAGAACGACAAGAAAACAACAAGTTAAAACGTCGCGTGTTAAACGGTTCAATGAACTTTGAATAATGTTTGAGTCATAGGCAGTAAGATTTTTAAACACTTTGGTTAAAAGCGAAAACAAAACGGCATAAGATTTGTGTACAAATAAATGTATGTACATACATTGTACATATGTAAATATGTTTTTAAAAAGGGTGTTGATTTGCACACAATTATCGAAGGTCAGTGCGTAGAATGCAGTTACATTAGTAAATATGTTTGCAATGCATATGTACGTGCATATAAAGCTATACATGCTACGTGTATCTACGTAGTACTTTTCTTTATAAATAAAGTGTGCAAAAGATAAAGGGCACTTGGTGTCGGGGGAGTGGGAGTAGGACAGCTGTACGTCTGGCTGTGCGACAATATTCTTTCTTTGCCGCTCAGATTCGATTGTCCTTATGATGAAATTGCACATTTTCATTGCAGGTTGAACTTCAACGCACACACTAATTCTAAAAAGCACACACTTACGCTTTGCTTAAATTAAGATAAACAGCACCCGATTACAATGTAGCACGAATTTAAAATTTTTTTTATTTTTTTATTGTCTAATATTGCACTGTTTTAGCACGATTAAATGCAAATTATTTGTTGCCTATTTTTTAAATCCACGCACACATACACACAAACATATCACACAAATGGCGGGAAAATCTACTTAAATTTACAATGGACTTTTTGGACTACTGCGCAATACATTTTAGATTTTGAAATTATTCCGCTAAAGCACTTTGCTATCACTAATTGTGCGTGAAAAAAACTATATTTAACAAATGCAGTTCGCGCACCGCCGTTCCGTACACAATAACACTAGTGTGACCATAATTTAAAATCACTGAAATAATAAATTGTCGAAGGAGTATCGATACCCGGATCTTATCAGAAACGCACTAAAAAACGCTATGCAACACATACGCTTGGCAGCATTAAAACAGCATTGAATTTATTAATTAGTTGCCTTCGTTCAAACAAAAATTGCTCGTGAACATTTAAACGGATGCTCTGACATAGTCAAGGATTGAAGTGCGCTGATCAATAGCGCTGCAAACTGCCCTGCGCAGGAAAACTACTTCACCGGCGACTGCACGAATCCCAACAATACCCTTTGCACATATTTAAAAGGATCCAGATTGTCGACAACAACAACTTTTCAACATGGATCAAATGCTGAGTCCAAACTATTCCATACCCAGCATTGGCACACCGCTCCATCAGATGGAGGCGGATCAACAAATCGTGCCCAACCCTATTTATCATCCCCCGGCTCCAGCGGTCCCGGAACCAGCGGTTCCTCCACAACAGCCAGATGCCGGCAACAGCGTTATAAGCGGCAGCAGTGGCAGCGGCCTTTTTGGTCATGAGCCGACACTGCCACTGCCGCACAAACAAATTCAAAGCTACCAATCCTCAGCGTCGTATCAACAGCAGCAGCATCAACAAGGCAACAATGTTGGTGGAGGTACACCGCAATCTCTAATGCAGCCACAAACCCCTCAAAGCATGATGACCCACATAACGCCCATGACGGAGCGTAATACAGCGACGGGGCCGGATTCGTTGAGCAACATACACCAAACAATGGGACCATCAACACCGATGACGCCAGCCACACCGGGCTCGGCGGATCCCGGCATTGTGCCACAGCTGCAAAATATTGTCTCAACTGTGAATTTATGTTGCAAACTAGACCTCAAGAAAATAGCGCTACATGCTCGCAACGCTGAATACAATCCAAAACGTTTTGCTGCCGTCATTATGCGAATTCGCGAGCCTCGAACTACTGCATTAATCTTCAGTTCGGGGAAAATGGTATGCACGGGTGCCAAGAGCGAGGCGGACTCGCGGCTAGCTGCACGCAAATATGCCCGCATCATACAAAAGTTGGGATTTCCGGTAAGTGTGAGCATTTATTCCTTTTTAGTTGTGACTCAATTGATTGTGTTCGATTTACAGGCCAAATTCCTGGATTTTAAAATACAAAACATGGTGGGCTCATGTGATGTTAAATTTCCTATACGTCTCGAGGGTCTGGTGTTGACGCATTGCAACTTCAGTAGCTACGAACCGGAGCTATTTCCTGGTCTTATTTATCGCATGGTGCGTCCACGTATTGTCTTGCTTATATTCGTTTCTGGAAAAGTGGTACTGACGGGAGCCAAGGTACGGCAGGAAATATACGATGCCTTCGACAAAATATTCCCCATATTGAAAAAGTTTAAAAAGCAATCGTAGGACGCTTGATGCATAGGTTAACTAATTTCTTAAGCTAGTGTAAACAATGTATTAAATCTTTTGGGGCAGCTGCAGCCCTCAAACGGCGGCCCAAAATAAAACTAGTGTGTAGTTGACAATTAAATGCGCCCGGCTCTTTTATTAGCATCATATATTGTACAAAAAGTAAGGATACCAATGGTTAATTTAAATACATTGCGCCATCAGTGCGCCCACGTTGTCAAACTCGATCTTCTCGGTAATATTCTTAGTCTTGATCTTGTCGTCCTGCGTCGCTACAACAACCAAATTCTGACCTTGGTGTTTCCAGCCATTGCGCTTGATCCAGCTCTCGAGCGTGGATTCCTCAATACCGCCTAACAACTCCTTTAACAAGTCTTTTTTGATGGTCTGGAACGTGGTACCCACTACATGTGAGACGAATTTACGTATGGAATCGTGGAAGCCAGTAATGTGTCGAAACATAGTGCGGTTGACCTCAGCGCGCTGCCAGAAGAGCGTAAAATCGGCGCGCTCTAATATGTCCGCTAAGTCAATAATGGTCTGAACATTCTCATCCTTCATCTGCTGTGGCAGCAAGAGGCATTTGGCCATCACGAAATCGGTGTGTGGCAAATTGGTGAGACACTTTAAGAGAATTGTGTAGGTGATGTCGAAGTTCAGCATGTGCGGGTTAAACTGATATAGTTTGAGCACGGCCAGATTCGCCTCCAGGTCGTAGCTGTTGTTCTTGGCCTGATCCTGAACGTACGATTCTAGTATCTTCAGATGGTCCGGATTGTAGCTGCGGCGATAAAGAGAGGTTATGTGTGCTTGTTGTTGCTGCGCAAACCAAAAAGTTTGCAAACCATGTCAAATTCGTACCGCTCGATGCAGCCCAGCATTTCTTGAATGGTCTGACTTTGGCCATTTTCCATCTTTACCAAATGCGACATATTTTGGGCACTTTAAATGTGTTTCGATAAATAAAACGAAAATTTAGGAAAAACTGCTCCTAAACAATTTTTCGCGTGGCGTCAAGGTGACCATTTCTATGTAACGCATTAATACCAACAAATGAAATCGGGAATAATACTAAAAATTACTAACTACAGAAAATGGCTATAAATTTAAACTTACCATAAATAGAAGGCATGCAAGAGTCCACAACGATTTCAATATCTGCAATTTTTTGTCAACAAATGGCAGGAGTATTAAAACAAACTTTATCTTCATACTCTTATACACTTCGTGCACAAATGCACAGTTCTCCATACGATTGAATATGTATAGAAATATAAGTTATAATAAATCAACCATTAATAATAGTTAGTACACTTTAAATTGTGGTCATAGGCGAGATTCACCCACCCAAAAACACTGTCTAATTCCTCAAAGTGGGCCCGCGTATGTACATAATAATATTTATTCATTTATTTATTTTTATTTATTTATTTTATTTATTTGTAAATAAGTACACATATAACATAATATATAACAAGATATAATAGACTACAAAATTAACATCTTTTGTAACGGACAACAAATAATATACTTAATTATATATATACTTTCCTATTTAGTTTAAAAACTTGATATTGGAAAGCGCAAAAAAAAATAATAAGAATGGCCCCTACTACATATGTACATAGAAAAAAATAAAACCTTTAATTATACCCTGAACCCAAAGGGTAAAAGCGTATATTAGTTTAGTGCGAATGTATGTGACACTGAGAAGGAGGCATGGCAGATATGTATATTATTCATCGGGATGATAAGTCGATATAGTTGTTGTTGCTGCTTTGGCTCAACTCTGTACTTCACACTTATACGAACACATAGTCACACTTTAGTGTGCAGTACTAAGTTCAGTAAATGCAAGAATAATATTAACAACTGTTTATTGAGAATTAGAGGAGTTATGTGCACCATTTAAAAATACAAACTTGTCTTGTTTCCTTGGATTTATACTTATAGAAAGGCGGAGCGAAGGCCTCCTTATGGGTTTTGCCTACATTCCAACAATCGGCTAAAAATTAGTTATATTTTTTAAATATTCGTGCCAAAATATTTTAGTTTCTTTATTACGTAAATGATTTGAAGGATTCTTGTATGCTTTACAAGCTACTCTCTGTTCCGTTTAGTTCTTAAACATGCTAGCTATATGATATGGTAACCCTTTAATATTTAATTTGATTTCAAAATCGCAATAAATAAAAAGGTATATGTGATGTGACAAAGCTAAATATCAGGTTTATAGTAATGTCCCCAGCTATTAGGGCTCAAAAGTTCCCGGTGTTTGTAATGGCGGATAGATGGACATGTCTATATCGATTCCTCATATCCTGCTAATAAAATTATACCTATAACATAGGGATGCACACGGCTTCGTCTTCTGTTTACACAAATTTTTAGTAATGATAATAATTATATTTCATATAATTTATATTTTAATTATAAATTAAGTGAGGAATTTCCCTTATTGTGTGTCAATCGCAAATTTAGTATCAATTTCGATATGCCTCTTTCCGAACCGCTCTATCTACAGAGCTGAAAATAAAATTGCAAGCTCAAATTGGAAGAACCCAAAGCAGAATGTGTGTATATATTTAAGAGTTATGTACATACATATATTCGTCTGGCTTACAACCCATATACCAGCGTTATCTTTTTTATGTATATACTATGTAGGTGGCTAGGTGCGCTTGCTGTTTACAACTCGATTGTTTTACATACACACATTTATTTTTGTACGTCAACAATAATATTCAAAATCAGACTTAACAGTTACCTACGAATCGGCAAAAAGGCTATTTAGTGATGGAGCGCGATTTTTTTGATTTTTACAGCTCAGGACTGTCAACAAGCTGTGGGTGAGAGTGGGTGGATGTTTTGAGCTTTGGAAGCCAAGCTGTCTGGCACTCGATATGGAATAATCGGAGAGCACTTGGACGCACTTCAGTCGAGATCGAGTAAAACAGCAAATATGGTGCAATTGACTACCTAGCATGGACGTTGAATATATTGTAAGCCTATACATATATTCTGAAATTCCCGGGCATGATCTTTCGTTATCAAAGTAAGACAAAGAAACAAGTGCAGCATCAAAAGTTAATCATGACGTTTGGGAAATTACGGTGCGATTTCTATGTGAGCCAGGTTTCAAGCTGCGCTCTCCCATATTTCCTCTATCATGCTTTATCTCTCTCTCTCTCTCTGTAACACAAGCGAACCGTGGCGCTATAAATACGCGGTGGAGCAGTAGTGGAGAATCAGTCTAAATTGACAGTCAACATGAGATCATTCGCAATACTTGGTTTAATTGCGGTTTGCGGTCTGCTGTGTGCAGGTAAATGACGCAGCAGCGGACATCAGAGAAGTGTTCCAACACAATTAATTTTCTATATCTAATTGAACTTTCAGTGGCCGAGGCACAACAAAATTACGATGGCCGCAACGGCCCCCACGTATTCGGCACTCCCGGCAATCAGGTTTACATACGGGGTCAAAACGAGGGACCCTACAATGTGCCCGGAGTGGGTGGTACCTTCCAAAATTCTCCAGGGCGCGGCGAACATGTTTATACCGATGAGCGCGGAAACACCTTTGTGAACAATCGGCATGCGGCCGGTGGAGCAGGTACTGCGAAGGGTTTGCTTTGGGGCTTGGGCTTATCATTTATTCTTACCTTGTCCATGTATTATAATACAAATTTCTAATCATGCGAAAATATATATTTCAGTATAATTTCTAACACTAATCCCTCAACCTTATCTCTTGCGTATTCTTATATTTTTTGGTATTCTAGGCGGTCACAGTATTTCCGGACCCGATCTAAGAGCTCATCGCGGCGGTCTGGGTGCTGGTGGCCCGAACGGTGGTAGTCCTCTTGGTCCTGGCGGTATCACTGCATCCCGGGCCGATGGTCGCACGGTCGGAATACCTGCACGTGGACGTCGTGGGTTGGTGAGTCACAACAGTCGCAATCGCCGTCAAACCTTTAGTGTTGGACGCCCAGACCGTCGTGTAGACTTCAGCACCGGACCTGGTGGAAGCGATTTCGTGGTACAGCGCGGCCGTCGCGACGCCTTCAGCGTTGGACGCCCAGATCGTCGTGTAGACTTCAGCACCGGACCTGGTGGAAGCGACTATTTGGTTCAGCGCGGTCGTCGCGACACCTTCAGCGTTGGACGCCCAGATCGTCGTGTAGACTATAGCACCGGACCTGGGGGCAGTGATTTCTTGGTTCAGCGCGGTCGTCGCGACACCTTCAGCGTTGGACGCCCAGATCGTCGTGTAGACTTTAGTACTGGCCCAGGCGGTAGCGACTATGTGGTACAGCGCGGACGACGCAGCCCACAAAGGGTTGTGGGTGATAATTTCGCAGCACGCGGCGGTGGTGCAGGTGCTTGGAAGGATAATGGTGTTTCGATTTGGAGACGTACGGATGGTCGTACCGTAACTACGGATGCGAATGGCAATGTCATCACGTCAGGAAGTCCAAATGGCAGAGGTCCACAGCACGTGAGTATTACGGATCATGATTTCCGGAACGCTACTAACTCGAACACCTACAGTACTCTGGTTAAGGATCTGTTCAGGGAAGCGTCGCACGAAGATGAGGGACTGGAGCAAGAATGGGTCGATAACGAAGAATTAAAAGCTGGGGCAGTGCTGGAAGATGTGGCCTTCGTCAGTGCGGAGCGTAATGAAGTATTGTTGGGTCTAAATTGCGACACTAGAGATAAAACGACGAAGCTGTTCACCGTTAAAGGCGTGTAGGATGCTGTCATATTATATTAATGTTAAATTAATGAGATTACGAACAAAAAGATTGAATAGGACTTGTAAATAAACAAAAAATGTCAAAGAAATTTCCCATATGTCTTCTATTATCGGAATAATAATTAAAATGTGGTGTCTATAAATGATTAGAGAGCACCCACATACGAGTATACTATATGCAAACAACGAGTTCATAAAATCAAGACATTGAACTCAATTAAATGATTATGCGGAATAAATCTTTAAAATATAACATGCTAATTAAATAAAGTAAATACAATCTGCTTATTAAGCTGTGTGATAACAGTCTACTTATACTATTAAATGAAAGTATGTAGAGAGTTTTTTTCGAAACTCTTATATTCAATGAAACAGTTAAATAATCTATACATATGGTCTTTCATACTAAGAGGATTACATTTTAAATACCAAAACTGTACTTATACAGACACAAACTTCAAATTGAAGTACAAATTGAAGTACACAATATTATCTGCAAAAAAGTGCTACGGCTACGTTGCGAATGAGTGATAAAATGTATTCAGATTGTATTATATTTGGACTCTTGTGCTAATGGAAACATGGTGGATCCGTGCATATAGCAAAAGGTATATTTAAAATGTTGTATTTATTTTGTAAATTGTTATTTATTTTAATATTTTTAACTACTTAGCTATGTTTTGACTGCTTTTTTGTTCGCAGTTCGTTGCTGGATTAGTCTTGCTTCGGTCCCAGTGCGTCCTTCTTTACAATATTGTGCGATTCGTTCTTCCTGTTATTCAGATTACCGACACCGTCTTAACTCTCACAGAATTGTAACTTTTAAAACATAGATGACAGCTTATACAAGTTTATTTGCAAAATGAGTATCTCCAACATTATAAATGTCATCTGCCAGAAGTCTGGACTTATTATTAATTATAATGACGAAGTGGGGAATGCACCAGGGGAAAAAACACAAATTCTTATTTGTTGGTACCAGAAGAACCAGGATATATGGTTTTGTTATTCTAGCATTACAGTTTTAAGAACTTTAAATTAGTAAGTAGTTTGTTTCTTGTTTACATGAAATTATGGGTGAACTTTATTTGCTTGCAAGATGCACATCAATGGTCGACAGGAGGAGAACACGATAGAAATATATAAACCACAAATTTTAAATTCCATTTTGCCCTTATAAATATATACATATATGTATGGATATTTACATATCTATTAAGATTTTTCAGTATTTGCAATAATTATAGCTTTTCTACTAATTAATAACGAGGTGTTAAACTACGCTATTGTTGATGTTAAAATAGATGAATAGAGTAGTTTTATTAAAAGAGGTACATTTTCACTGCCGTTACCCAAGTACAGGGTATATGTTTTAAACGAGATTGTTCAGCAACATATGTACAAATTTAATCAGAAATATTCCTCTATAATATTGGAATGATTAGATTTGGAAAACTTTTACTGTTTTCGAACATTTTCGCACTTTTAAAAGTGCACATATTTGCCAAATTATTTTAAATCCTGGGTCTACTATTGTCTACATTTATTTACAAAATTGTATTAAGCAATTCAAAAATATGCTTGATATCTGCCGATCACAATTGCTACAGAGTTTCGTATAGTCGAGTAAACATAACTGTAGTGTTTTATGTGTTCTTATCTCGAATTACATTTTGAATTGTTCTGAGAATTCGCTCAACAGTTCCATTAACCAAGTCTGTTAGGTGCGTCTGATGCTTGCCACCACCACTCTCTCTAAACAGGTTTTCGACGAAGTAACCTTGAGCTTTTAACGGGAACAGATTAAAGACTGGAGTACCATACAGGGGTGTAGGAACGGGTAGTTTTGAAAACGCTTGTACTAAACATTCGAGTATATAGCACATCAGTGGCCGCCGTAGCAGACAACAACAAGTGGAAAAGTTAAGGTGGGCTGCCCCGACTTTGAAATACTCTGTAACTATTTATTGTAGAATTATTTCTATTTCAATAAACTAAACTAAAAAAAATTGTTTTTAAACAATTATCAAGCTTTGAGCTCACGTAAAGGATCTACGAGTATGTCTGTACATTTGCATCAGGATTTTGTCTATGTGTGTGTGTGTTTCTGTGAGAATGTGTACAGTGCAGAGTTGAGCAAAAGCAGAACAACAAAATAACTGCTGGCAGAGCTTGGGCAAAGATTACATATATGGCGATAACTTAATCGACTTGTCTTGTCAAGCTGATTAAGAATATACTATAGTATATACTTTGTGCCTCCTTCTGCCTGCTACATTTTTCACTTTGCACAAACCTAATACTAGTACAGACCACGAAACTACAAACAAATACAAATGTAAGGAAGAAACAAGAAAGGAATGTTAAAGTCGAGCAGGCTCAACTCTTAAAGGAGGTTGGGCTTGGTTATATGGCTATAACTTTCTTTCTAATCAACCAATCATAATGAAACTTTGTATACATCCTGATCAAGAATATATATACTTTGTGTGGTTTGCCAGGCCTCCTTCTGTGTGTTCCATGTACACTCGCACAAAACTAATATACCATTTTACCCTTTGGGTACAGGGTATAAAAATCAACTACATGGGAAAAATCAAGAATAAACTGGTGTTAGGAATCTCCCAAGCTCTCGTTAGAACTTGTTGTTGGTTCTATTTGCATACAAGTGTGGTAAGCATTTTAGAAACAAACATAGCAATTGTGCGCAGCTGGTCGAAAGTGAAAAGTTTTTAAAGCAATTATTATATACTTGTATGAATGCATCACAAATATAGTACATACATACATAGTATGTATGTACGTGTTTTCTATGTATTTAATAACCCATGTACAAAGCCGACACGCGACACTTCGAATGACATCATCAGAGCTATACAAATTGACCCCTCGATCCGCGATCTCTCAATATCTCAAAGCTTACGTCTTGTTGGACTTCTCATCAATTAACGGTTGCACGCCTCATGCTCAGAGCATTTAAAAGCTATAATTTTCTTATTATGTTTTACTTATTAGAAGTGGCTGTCATTGGTATTTGTTTTATATCTATAATATTAAATTATTTAAGCCGATTTTTTTCTACCTTTAATTTTTAGAGACTTTACTTGTGCATTATTGTACATTTAAGGAAAGACTTGTAAATAATTTGATTTGCATTTCCTTCTTCTTACTTGAAGCACTGTAATATCAATAGAGCCATTCCAACAAAAACCTAAAGTTTTAAGCATGTTGCTATACTTGTACAAATGTTACCAAAAGGTTTTTTTCGGGTGCGTTCAGGGCATTTACCGCCTTCGGCGAGACATTGAATGTAGAAGTAAACAACAACGACTTGTACAAATTCTGAATGCGGTCGTAAAATTGAGCTTTACTTGGACTTGTTGACATCTCTTTGAAATCACACACAATATCCACATTGATTCGCATAGACTTGAACGTTTTTGTAACCTTTCATGTAAAAAATATGTTCTTTGTGACGACTTTTGTGCGATGGCTTTTGTGCAGAAATTTCAAGGCAATAACGAAGGACTTATGAAGTGAAAGCAACGCAAAAAGAAGGGCAGTATTTAGCATAAGTTGGATGGAAGTTTCTTTCTAACGATGCCACTTAAGCTCTTTCATGATTTTCAACTTTTTTTATTTTGTTTTTTACATACATACAAGTACATACATATATTTTATTCTGACCGGTCAAAGCCGCCTATGTTTTTTGCTCGATTGAAGTTAAATCACAACTACTTGTACTTCTGCATTTGATTATGCGATTGTAATCTAGGATCTTAATTAACTCCTCCAATTGCACTGCATTCGTTAGATGGTGTGTTTCCTTTTTCTCTTTGTTCAAGTTTTGTATAAAAGTTCACTTGTTGTGCTTCAAGACAGGTCGGTCTCTTGATATAGGACGCCCTTTCATCCAATTTTCGTGAATGCTGTACGTCAGTTGTGAAAAACCTAAGAATAATATATTTTGCTCGTAATCGAAAGATTAGGAACTATTGTACTACTTGTATTTACTAAATAATCAAAATGTAAACAAACCTGCTCCGCCGTTTTAACATTTCAGGCGTTCATCGCTGTGAACCTGCGAATGAGCAACTCGATTTGTCTGGTGGTCGTGTTGATTAAGAATATATGTATATAAGTACTTTATGAGGTTGGGCTAATCGGAGGACTGTCCTTGGAGCTGTATTTCTCCACAAACTGATTGCCGGTAGTGTTGTTTCTTCTTTCCTATTAGGTCGTCTTAATTTCTCAGTTCCTTCCAGAACGATAAGAAATTATCTCTCCCTTTCCCTTAGTAGGTGTACAACTGAATATGCATCGCACTATCCTTTTCGCAATTTATGCTCATTTTATAATGAGTATTTTCACCTGCTCTCAACTGAACTGTATCTTCCTTTAACAAAAGCCTCTCTTTTCAGCTTTCTCCGGAATGTCTGAGCAGGATCGGCTGTGAGACGGGGCATAGCTTGCCGGACTGGCTAAAAAAATCTTCCCCCAGAGAGATTCAAATTTTTTTCTTTTTTCAAATTAGCTTTTAAGTAATTCTAATGAATTTGATATTATTGTAATTTGATTAGATATCTCCTTCTTAGGCTTTTCTAGCGTATAACATGCTTTTATAATTTTTATATATTTTCCTCCTATGTCGACAATCAATGTTTGTTGAATAAAAAAATGTTAGTGCATATATGGGGGTTTTGTGACAATCAGCAGATCATAATATTTGATTGTTGGTAGGTAAATAATCTGTTTCCCTTGTTAGCAAATTCATTAATTTATTGGCATTATTCAATTCGCCCGATATCCGTAAATCTTAATGAGCCCCTTATCGACTAACTCGTAAATGTGTTCACCATCACTGAACTAGGCGGCGACGATATATTTTAGTTTAGTACACCGCCATGAACCGATTCGTTCAGAGGTCACTGCGCTTCGCCTATGGAGTTGCTCGCATCCTAGGTGTCATGAATCTCGAAATTGATTTCGAGACGGGCCGTGCTCGGGTCACACGTCGTACTACCATCTATGCGGCAGTGATGAATGTGTTGACATTCAGTGTCCTGCCGCTTATGCTGAATCTCAAGCAAGTGGTAGCGGTTTCCTGCCGCGTCACGCTACTGCACGAATATTTGTTCACCTTTGTGGTGGCCATACGCATTATTAGTATCTTTGTGACGATCATCAGTCGATGGATCAAAAAGCGTCGACTACTGCATATCATACGCGCGGTTCGACACTTAAAATGGAGGTTGTTGCGGCAGGCCCCAAGCGATAGTCGGCGAGCCACACGGGCTTGGCAGCGTGGTGTTATCATTAAATTCATGTCAGCCACGCTGGCAGAAATGGGTTTCCTTATGGTGGCCGTTTACTTAGTGCGTGAATATTTAGGTCTGAGACTGATTCTGGGCATTTTCCTGATCTTTATGCTTATGGCACTACTCAACAGCATCATTGCGCAATATTACGTTGCGCTACTTTACGTTCAAGTTTATCACATAATTCTGAACGAACAATTGAAGGATATAGTGGGCGAAATGCGTTGGCTCTGTCGGCGACAACGTAATGCCCAGTGCATGGGGGTATTTGTGATGAAGTCGTGTATCCTGACCGACCGTTTGACAGAGCTGGCTCAGATACAGGTCAAACTACAGAAGCTGTGCCTGCTTATCTCCACAACATTTGGGATACAAGTTCTATCTGTCACTCTCGTCTATTATATGTCCTCGATAGGCGCTGTGTACTTTTTCTTCAGTCTATATAAGCACGACGAATTGCGGTTAGGCTGGAGTAACTTGGGGTTGGCTTTCGTCGTTTGCTCGCTGATCATATACTTTGTAGACATGCTGATTACTTTGAGAATCAAGTTTTTCATTTTGGATGAGAGTGCTCTAATGTCTCGGATTTTGGAGCAATACACGCTCTTTAGTGGATTGGATGCACGCCTTGAAGCTGCTGTAAGTAGAGTTGTATATACACTTTAATATAAAAATCATGTATTTCTCAGTTTAAAGACTTTCAACTGCAAGTAGCACGCAATCCTTTAAAGCTGCCTGTTTACGGTCTCTACAATATGGATCGTCCTCAAATGATGGCAACATTCGTATCATTACTTTCACATTCAATACTTTTGATCCAATATGATATGAAGAATTACTGAAACTAAACGAACCTGCAGTCCAGCCAATAAAGTGTTCAAAAATAAATAATTCACATTAGTTTTCGAAGTTTCCTTGGTATGTAAGCGATATCCTTATTTATTGTATCAAATCGACCTTGTTCCTGTCAGTTTAAGAACTCTCAACTGCAAGTTGCCCGTGATCCTTTAGAACTCTCAGTTTATAGCCTCTAGGCTGTCAATTTAATCAAGTATAGTACGATTTAAAAACATAAATACATTTTTTTTATGTTGTACTTGTATAACGAAGTTTGCGCTTTCAGCCTCACATATGCTTACCAATTCTGTATCTGCACACTATGTATCGAAGGCCAACGTCTCGTCCTGCAGACTGCAAATGTACTTATCACCGATCAGATAATGTCGAACAAGAAATAAATCATTTACATCTAACCCTGAACAGTAAAACAGAAATCTTAAATATATGGAAAATAAAAATACTCTTTTAAGGTGCATCTAGCCATGTACACATATGACTACATACATATAAACACATATGTATATGTGTATATCAGCTGGTTTATGACATTGCTATTATCATTTTAATGAAGTTTTCAGCCATGCAAATCTATTTTTTCTATCTTTTGTGGGAGTTTTGTGCACACACATGTTTACCTTTGTATCTGTTATAAAAATAAATCACACAGCATCCTACTGTTTGCTTATTCAAATAATTCTTCTCCACTTTCCACCACCCACATACTTTACACAGAAACACTCACAGAAACAGAGTGGTGGACGCCCACATATAAACAATGGAGGAACACTCTGAAGCCACGAATGAACTTTATGCAAAGCATACAAATTATGGAGATTTTGTTGCCTTTTGCCAGCAAGATTATGATGAAGCTGACGCTTACATGGAATTACCATATACATATAAATATACATACATGCGTGTTGCCAGTAACGAGAGTAATAAAAACAATAGCACAGCAAAAAGAAACAAAAATACGAAAAGAATATACATCTTTGAGGAACACTTAGCCTATGCGCCAACGCTCAGAAAAAAAAATCAAATTTCTTGGTACAAAATCAAGTACGAACGCTGTTCAGAGAAAAATGTAGTAAAGATCGTTTTTTAAATCCCAAAATACTTACATAGTTATTGAACAATTTAAGTTCGTTTAATGCGCTTTTATTTTTCTAATTTTCTAAAATATATTTCCATGTTTGCGTGTTATTTACATAAGTTTTAAAATCAATCTATATACTTAAAACAAACCAATTCAACACTCATACACTTGGCAACTCTAGTTAATTTTGGCATCGATTTTAAGTTGTTTGACGAATGAAAATTACATAAAAATGCATACATATTTTCACGGAGTGTAGTACACCGGATGTGAAAGAACAATATATGTTACTTGGAAAATTTTTAATTGGTTTTTGTGTTTACATAACGAATATTAATAAGTAGATAAATATGTTGATGCTTAAACACATACAGCTTTAAAGTGTGTGAATAAGCCAATAAAGCCAACAATATGTAGCAGCTTTTTCACAAAACTAAAGTGCAAATAAAGCTGGACAGATGTTTCTATCCAATATTCGGTAGCATTTAGTTATTATATGCACAGAAATTTGCATACATGTACATATTCATGTGTGCATACCATATTTATGAATCTTTGCGTCCTTTAATACATTTCTAAAAGGAGGTACCGGATACTTTGATCAACGTTCTACCACGTGAAGCAGCCCTACACAAGGTGCCGCTTCCGTCCTTCACTTTCGGGCTTTTTCGATATTTCATCTGGACGATGCCAGTAGTATTCCTTCCATTCATTGCACTGAAATCGGTTTATTTTTGTCTCGTCTGACCAAATCACCTTCCCCCAATCCTCTTATATAACACTTTTCTCAGACAGAGTTGTTTGCTTTTTTGCTGCTTTGATTATAGTAGCGTTTGGTCTTGTCTTTTGGAGAGAAAAGGTGAACACATATCCTTTTTTGATTACATTTGCAAAATGTTAAACTGGGCTAAAATGCTATTTTTGTTGCTTTTTCTTTCCCCATATATATATTTTTAGCCAACATGTATCCACATGTGCTCCCCACTGCAGGTGTCTGCCTACTTGACAAAGTCGATGAATTTCAAATGTATCCTCAATTCGCCACAACATGTTTTTGTTGATTTATAATAAATCATCTTAAAAATTCAATCACAAAATTAGGCTATAAGGAATTAAGACTGAATAGACTGAGATAATTGAACCTTTTTCACTAATTTGTAAATTTGAGAAACGATTTGAAATAAAATAAAAAGTTATACAACATTTCGTAATTAAGAAATAAAAACAAAAATTTCTACAAAATAGTTAAATAAAAACGTTTCAACCTATCTATTTAGATTATTTATGTTTTCAACATTTGTTAGTACTTCTTATATTTTTTATTATTTATTTAAAACAAGTTTTCCGTATGCACAATGTGTGCTTACAGAGTACACATTATTTCATAGGACTTGGTGGGCTTTCACTATTTTGTACATGTAGTTTTAATGTTGAACATGCTGGCACTGCTACTAATGTTGCGGTTTTCAGTAAATTCACAAAATGAGAGCATTTTTTATTTATTTGTTTTAATTACAAGCGCCATTATCATTTACTTTTCTGACTAAAGCACACAGACTATAAGGTCGTGCCTTTCCCAACTGCTAGACAGTTTGGAGCAAAATGTAATTTGAAATGTTCGCCCTGGCTGTGTTTTTGTTTCAAAAAGCAAAAGCAATTTGAAAACGCACACAAAATCCGATTATGTCTTCACAAACCAATACATATGTTATGCTGTTACTTATGCTTTTAATTAAAATGATGTGCGGTCTAATTCACATTGCACATTGCTCATACGCACTGTGGCAAGAATATGTACATATAAATTTGTACCAATCTATTACAATTTCATGCTGACTTATTAAAAGCACCGTGTTAATGCTTAAGCCGTAACCTAAAATCCTTGACAAATATTTGATTTATTAACAGAGATTTAATTTCTTTTTGTCTTGTGTTACGATAAGTCTGTATCACGCCTCGCAGGTTTTCATTTGACACGGGTCGAAGCAAAAAGTTAACAGTTATGATTTAGGTGGATATTTTGTGGTGACTTTTTGTAAATAACTAACTGTTTAAAGGCAACAGATCAATGTATAAATATGTGTATTTGGGTCTATGTCGAACGTTTCCCGTTTTACAAGGCCATGGCCTTTGATTTGCCGCCTGCATGCGCTTCTGTTTTGGTTTGTTAACATCGAAGACTCGAAAATGCGCCAGCCCTTGGGTGTGGAAGGAACGTAATAGGACATGCGCTTGTTTGCCGACTGAAGGGGCTGTTACTACCCCTAATATAATGCCCACAAATTCAGTATCCACATATCCACTTCTACTTGGCAATGAACGATAAGATCCACATAATCAGCGTCCACATGCCACAAAGTTTAATTGTGGATTGTGGCATGTGGATGTTGAAGGTCCTTCCCCCGATATAAAATTGAAAGTCCACATGCATGCCGCAGACATTGTTGCTTCTATTTTGAATTAAATTCCTTAAACTTCATTCCCAATTATTTCCACAAGTTCATCATCCAAATGGATGCCACGGACCAATATGCTCCTGTTGTGGGGAAATTACCACTGACAGCCACTCGATATCATTTAGGCGCTAATTTCGCGCTTTGCGTGCTTAGTCCTTGACTAGTGTTTGTGTTGAGCAGACGTTCAAAACGGAACAAACAAACAAAAAGGCAAACAAAAAGGTGACCAATAGAGGCAGGCACAGTAAACTTAATTTAATTTAAATGCCGTACCGCAGAGTTTAAGTCATTGAGCACGTATTTAAATTATTCGACATGTATGTTTGTGGTTGACATTTCTTCTGCTAGAAGCTGAATTAATTAAATTAATCCCTGAGCTAGGAGAATGACATTTAAAAGAAATTAGTTCCTGTGCTGAATAAACATAAATAACTGTGAAAAATCCAACAAAAAGTTTAACATTTCATTATTAAATGGAGTGCACATCTACGAATCGACAACCAGTACAATCTATAATTGTGTACACGTATGTGTAATAAAACAGTCTGAATGCCTAAGCTTTCAGCAAAGGAAGAAGGTAAGCCTCGACTAAGTGTATAGAAATATGAAGTTTCATGAATCAGTGAGCAAACAAAATATAAAATGGCAAGTCAGAGAGACGACACCAATAAATTTTGTGATAAGGGCGATAGCAAAAATTCTGACACCTGTCAAGAGAAATAATGGAATATATGAATATGAGAAGATTAAAATGATAAGATGACGCACATTTGTGCAGCGAGTGGAAACGCAGATAATATTTTTAAACTTTAATTAAAAAGAAGTGCGTGATTTGGCAGCTGGCTGGTGCCGCATCGTATATAAATTAAACAGTTGCTCACTTTTCATATTTCTTCTTTAATTTCGCCAAAGATTATGAACTTTGCAATAAATTTTAATAATTAAAAACTGAAAGTAATAATATTTGTTTCTTCACTAAATTCAAACTTTTTGTGAGATTAAAAGTTTGACAAAATGTTACAAAAATTGTACTTGTGAAACAAAAATATTGGGGATTTTGGAATATATATTTTTGCAAAGGATTTTATATTGAGTATAGCTCAACAAAAAAGTCTGAAATCTTTAAAGTCGGAAATTATATACTTGTATGTAACAAACTTTAATTTTTTGTGTCTACAACTTTTTGTAAAAAAAAGTATGGTATCTCTTTATAAAAGTGTAAGCATCTAATTTGATTATGTCGGAAAAATCCCATTTAAAGTAACCAAGACTTAAAATAATAAAAATCCAATTTGATTTTGCTAAATGAAATGTGAGTGAAAGCTGAAATGAAAAGAGTGCCTGTCTAAGAGATATTCAAAACCCAATCAACAGTTAATGAACGAACCCCAAAAAAGTTGCTTGCAGCAAATAAAAAGTCGCAACTATGTAGTTTCTGTTGTATATTGAA